CGCGGGGACGAATGCACCATCAATCTACATAGGCCCCATGATCGAAATGTTCTTGCAACTACCCGGTCATTGCCTCATTTACATGCTCTCAATCGCAATGAATCATGATGTTCTCGACCCGTCGTGGTGACACTGAACACAAACCGAAGAAGCCCTAGAGTAAACATGTGGGTCTAGCAGACGACCAAGCCGTTGACCCCGAAGCCTGAACTCCCCAGCAGTCAACATATCCAGTTCATGGTCGGGATAATATTAGAGGATAAAATTGTCTATTCCTTCTTGGGCTTAAGTACAAATAACATGTAAAATGTTACCCCACTATGACAAAGATTTTCTATGAGACAGAAGGGCTGCGGACTGTCCTTCTTGGCTCTCTTGGCTGCTGGCTCCATGACAGCGCGGTCGTCCTTGGGGACGAAGTAGACCACGATGGTCGTGCACTGCCTAGAAGGACTTCGAGTGAATCTCGGGCTGTTTTGAAAGCCACGAAGGGTCCACGAAACCTGTGTACATCCTCGAACTGAAAATGAGGATTGTCGTGATGGTCGTATACCAAGCATCAAAAGAGAATCCGATGCTGCTCATGAAGCAGTAACAGCTGTTGATGATGCGAAACCCCCACCCGGAAGCACTGCGTGCACAGTAGACCCAACATGCTCATACAATCTGCGCAACCTGCGCCCCGAAGCCAGCCGTCCAAGTCGCGCATTGGCATTCTGGGGCGCCAGGGCAGCGCGGTGAGCGATGTCGCCGCTGGCTGCCTCATGCTCTGTTTTGCGACCACATGCAGGCTTTAGGGTTTAGTTTGTAGATGCCAAGGGCAAGCTGCCTCAAGAAAGCTTTATGGGGTTGCAACATCCCTGGTCTTCAGTTTCTCTCTAGAGGTACTTAGGCAACTCTTCAACCTGCGCCGAGCAATGCATGGGTGAGAGAAAAGGCGAGACAGAATCAGTGAAGAGCAGGACCTGCAGAAAGGGGAGCCTTGCTTCAGGCACCATCCAGAAGAGTCCAAGCATTGTTGATGATTATGCTAACCACGTTGAGATGACGCTGACGATGAAGTTGCTGCAGCAGTTCATGCTACACTTGCCATGAGACTTCCCGGTGCTTGCACAACTTTCTCCTCGTCTGGCATCGTTCGGCATCCCGTTGTGAGTTGACCCCCAAAATTCAAACTCCAATTGACCAATTTCGAACGTTGTTCCAGCCACGCTCCAGCAGCGGCCGCCAAAACTTTCGGCACACATCTATTTCTGAAGGTCGAAGTGCTCGCGGCTTGTACTCAAAGTCGGAGATCGTCAGGGCAACCTGCTCGGAAGTTGGGTCTTGAGTTTTGGATGTTGGGTGGAGGCTATTCACTAGGCAAGTTGTTTTGCGGCAGCCTGAATTAACCGGAAAGACCAGGGTTTGAGCAGCTGAGAGTGGTGTGAGGGTTCACATGCGTTCAGGGATCCGCTCCGGAAATCAACTTCTGATCATTGGAGATGCGATGACCGACTGTTTCCGAGATGTAGAACTAAACGAGGTCTCCGCAAGGACTGTCTGTTCCCGGGTAGAACAGCCTAATGGGACACGGAGGGTTGCCGGTTTGAGGAGCCAATGATGCACGCAAGTGCCTGGGAGGCATATGCCGCTACTTCGCCCTCAAGAGAAGCCGAATCGCTCGGCAGCCAGCAAGTTGGTCAACGCCAGTCGGACAAGGCAGGACAAAAAGCTGGGTTGATTGGTATATACGACAAAATCGTAGAAAAGCGAGTGGGGTGGGGGAAACTACAGCCGACCTCACATGCCTCCCCTCTAAGCGCCCCCGATCCACTCCCCGTAGTGCAAGCGCTCCCACAACCACAGATACTTCAATCATAGCAGCACGTACTCGTCATCACAGTAGCTTTCAGACAGTGATTGCCACCCTAAGAAGCGCCAAAACATCGGAGATGCAACGCCAACACGTGCCCATCTCCCGAACGAGTGGAGACTCACCCTAATCATAGCAGAACTGGATGAAGTCCAGGTTGTCAGGGCTTACAGACAAAGCTGCTCTGCAGGTGGCATAAACATGGCCAACTTCGGGCTTCTATTTAGGACAAAAGCCTCTTCAACTTCCGGAGTTCTCTGGAATGACGATTCGGCTTGTCACATTCAGGGGGTTTGGGCTTCGAGTTTGTAGAGTCCGACAGTCAGACATGTATAGCTTGTCTGCAGCCTCTTTGGGTTTCTGCTGCCGGAGCTCGGGTTCCCTGTCTCGAACCGGGGGCCTGTGCACTTGGTATGGCGGCTGGAACGGGCGTGGAGCTCAGGACCAAGGCGATGTGCCGATCGGCCCACGAGACATCCTTGGTTCGACGATTTCGAGGGAAGTCGACGGTGCAGAATCTTGCAAGCGAACGGACACTGTGGGTTGGTGTCGGATGCACATATTCTTGTAGGGGACTGTGCACCGAGTTCAAGGTTCTTGTGGGATTGTAGCTTCCACCCAGAAGCGCAACCAGCAAACCACGAACCTGCAATCAAATAAACCTTGTTGCTCAGAGTGTTTTACAACAACACCATCAGGATCCAGTATGCAGGTACTGTAGCCTTTCTGATTTTCCACGCTACAGGGACATTGCCCCGGGATCCTTAGCTAATGCACAGCTAATCGGATTCTATTCAAGGCCTCAGCAGTCTCATCGCAACAAGGTTGACAGCTCCGACAGACATACTGAAAGCCTGGCGCACTATCCCTATAGCGGCTATAGCGAAGCTGTGGACTGAACAAAAAGCTGAAAATTTGTGCACAGACGATCGACATCTTGCTTAACGCTCAAGGCAAAGCACATGTACTCATGCACCTGTCTTTGCACAGCAAACGACAAAGCCACCCATCCACTGTGCTGCATGTAGTGTAGTACAGTTCATACCATCGTGTGCGCTTCCTACCATCAGCCAAAGGCAGTCCGGGAATCTGTGTGTCTGGTCTCAGGGACGCTTCTCAGGAACTTCAAGCTACCAGGCATGCCTGAGAGCTCCAGTTCTTCTGCAGGGAAAGCTTCGGAAGGTTGTACAGATTTCACGTATGATTTTCGGAAGGCGTCCATGAAGCATACACGAGTGCTTCGAGCATCTTTCACATCGTCGTTATCTGCTTGCGTCGTACTAAGCTGCATTGCATGGAACCAAGATGCTATGTGTTATTGGTTGTCAACCTTGGCAACAAGCCTTCCCAACTATGTGCCTGAAGCAGGACTCAAACTTTCTACAGGAAGCATAAACTGTGTCAGAAAGTCATAACGCATGCTTCATAGCCTCGGGAAGATAATGGACCCTCAACTGTAGCACGGGAGCCTCGATGCTTAATATAGTTCTTCCATCATAATGCAGGCATGAACACGAATCGCACGTCGGGTACCCGTACGTCACATAATATTTGGTCCCCCGTCGCGCTTGAATTGGAGGGGAAAGGCTTGACTCCGAAACTTGCAAGTTTTAAGATTTTAAGGTAATGAAACCCAATCTTTCTGAGCTCTCGAAAGGTTCCACCCAGAAACCCCGCAATTTGGAAGCCTCACGTAAACCTGACCAACGTAGAGGAACTACAGTAATTTCCCCCCCAGCCCAGCGCTCTGAATACTCTAGAAAAAGCCCTTCAGCCATAGCCTGCGAACGAACACGCTCACACACACACACACATACACACACACACACATACACACACACACATACACATACACACATGCACACATACACACGCAGACAGCGACACTGGTACTCCATAATGCAATGCACCCTGCAGCAGCCGCCCTAACCGCACTAACCATAGCCTGAGCTTAGCAGCCGAGTAGCTTTACACCAATGAACAGCTATCAAGTGGAAAGAGTGGAATCCCCTTGCTTCACGAACCCCGCCCAGTAACAAAAGGAATCAGAATTAGGCCAAGTAGGCAGCGAACGAACAAAACACCACAAAGAAGAAGCCGCCGGCCTCCCATGGATCCCTTCCATGCCCGGTCTCCTATGGACCTGCAGGCCGGGCTTAACAAGGTGAGCAAAAACTCACTGTCTCTTTTTAAGTTTGACACCACCCCGCCACCCCATGCCACCCCCACCCACGACCGGCAAAAGGGTGTCATTCTTTGGTGCTTACTGCCTCATGCTGCATCACACCCGGCAGTGTGGTAGGGTCCGGGGTTTAGCTCTGATTGGGATGCCTCCCTCCCCTGTCGTGTGGTGTGCTTGTGGGCTCGGGTCCGTTGGGGTGTTCATCATCATCATCAGCAGCAGCATCATCAGCAAAATCATCCCCAACATCCTTCTTTGGTCGCCGGGTGTGTTCTGTCCACGTTCCTGGTCACGAGCATGGCTTTCATGATCTTCGTGCCAGTCGTCGCTTCGGGGGCATGTCCGAAGGAGATCCTTGCGACAGGTGTTGGTTGCCGGACCCTCGTCTTGGCCACATGGTTGCAACGGGTCGCGGGTCAGCTGGCACAGGGATGGGGTCTGTCAGGGACGCCATCCTCCATACAGTTGGCAATTTCTGGGACCTCATGTCCGAGAGGCGTTTGGAAAAGTGCCCACCGTCGCATAGATCGGGCGTGTTGGAGATGCATACTCGTGACAGTTGTTGGCTTCGCGAGCCCTCATTGGCCGAGCGCGGGGGCGGGGGGTCGGCGAACCCCAACCAGCATCACACGTATACATATACATATACATACACATATACATGTACACAGACACAGACACATCCCACGCATGCGTGTGTGCGTGCGTGGGTGGGTGGGTGGGAGGGGGGGATGGATGGTTGTATGTACGTGTGTATGTACTTACATGTATGTGGGCGCACGGATGTGTGTGTGTGTGGGTGGGTGTATCTGTATGTATGTATATCCATACACGTACATGATGCATACAGTAGTTTCAGGGTTTCGCACGAATGCATTCAAGTCTCAGGGTGTCTCCACCGATATACGCCAATACAATCCAATATACACTACTGGCTGGCAGGCGGGCTTCATTTGCAAACTGCTGTGTTTTTGAGTGTTGCAATATCTTTACAAGGGATACTTGGATCCAAGCTCGCTGGTGTGTATCCTTGCTCGTGTGAGTTCAGGGGGCTCTCCTAGTAATCGCTTGTCGGCAACTCTCTCGCTTCCTTTTAACTTACCGGCCCTCGCAATCAGCGGTCGGCGATTCAGGCTGGTGTTAGGGCTTGGATTCTTGTCTACTGAGTGATTTAGGGACTGCAGTGTGTGTGTGTGTGTGTGGGGCCACCAGACCTCCATAGTACAATTTTAAGGTGTTGGACCCCGCGGGCCTGGACACTGCTGTTGTTGCTCCTTGCGGGTTGCTGGTCATCAGCTTTCCGCCCTCTCCAGGAAAGACCATTCCACCATTGTCTTGGAGAAACTTCCTTAGCTTGCGGAAAGGAGTGGGGTATTGCCTGAACTTGCATTTTTATGAGGCTGAATGGGCGACGGACTGCAGGGCTTAATGTGAGGTCGAGCACAGTGCTTCATTACTCGTGGCTCGTCGGATAGTTCCGGCCCCTTTGTCAGCTCTGGCAATGTCGTGGGGTTGATGCAAGTATCGCCTCACGGTTTGTTTATGCTTCTCAGCGTTCCAGGTTTAGGATGGGTTACGAGGGTTTAGGACACGATCGGATGCTTTGATTGTTTCGGGCTGCCGGAAATGTGTCGCTTCTCAATCGAAGGCGGTGTAAAGACACGGCGCGGAACCGGCTCCTGGAGGGACCTGTAACGATGCTCACGCACAACACGAAAACGGGCACGAAGAACCTGCAGCCAGACATTGTTTCTGCCCGTTAGACGGAGCAGGCTAGAGCAACGGCGGACTTACGCCCTTCTTTTCCACAACCTGACAAGCAAAACATGTCTTTGATAACACCTGAGCTGTTACACTTCAAACTCAGATTATTTGCACCAAAATGTCTGCTATCTGAAGAAACTCTAGAGTGATCTGGAGAATCTGAGTGGATACGTAACCCAACCGTCCCTTGACCACTTTCCAGCCTCCATAGCTGCAATCAACAGCACTTCTCATGCCGCATGTTCAAGACATGTGCACAATCAGTTTGAATGGCGTCGAAAGCCTAAACCGGAGGAGCTGCCCTTTCCGGGGCTTGCCAACCACATGCCAACTACTAAGTGAAAACTCAACGCGACATAGAAAACTACGTAGTAACCACAATGTCAGCAACTGCGAACCAAGAGGCTGATCCTCCGGAACCTTGAAGTGACCCTGGTTTACGCCCATGTTCACGGCCTGCTGGGGAGGCAAGGCTTGAATTTTAAGTAGAAGCAAGGGCTCTACCGAGCTACAGCTGCGAAAGGGGTGTCAAAGCTTATATGTTTTCCAGCAGAAAGAAGCCAGCTGACATCCAGAGAGTTGAAGAAAAAAAACGTTTGATGCATCCTCAGCCTGCGTTCGAGGATCTCTGGAACTAGGGAGTGCTTGACTGAAGACTCCGGGAAGATCCTGCAAAACACGGATCACGAGATCCGTAAGCTCCACGAAGCCCAGGGGCCAACAGCTCCCGGGCTTCGAGCAGTTTGTGGGCTTTGCCCTTGCTAAGATATGGGTTTACTGCCTTCGCCGGGTGCAGGCAAACGAAAACTATCAACTCCTATCTGTAGCTTCTGGAATGAATTTGGAGAGTGGGAGGATTGGGATGCAACACGTATGCCTTGAGGTTTAAGAATTAAGGCCTCGAGAGCGGATGAGTGGTTGAGTCAGACAGTGAAGTGCCATCCCAAAACTTCGATACCTTTACCCCGGCCCTGGCCCTGAATGCAGTTCCACCCCTACGGAATATCTGAAGTTTTGCCGACAGAGGACCCAATGAACTTGCGTCTCGTAGCCCCGAATTCCTAGAATGCACGGGAGGTGAGCGCCTTGCAGGTGTCCTGCTTGTTGCCTTTCCGCGGTCCGGCTTCGAGCAAGGTCTCGGCAGTGCTTTGGAATGGGTGCCCCATACCCGAAACTGCGGGAGGATGGACTTCAGGAAGCGCTGTTGACCCATGGGTGAACATTAACTACTGCGGTTTAGTGGGGTTCTAGGTGCGAGGCTCCTGCAACTTGGAACTTGTAGCTTTGCCCCCAAACCGCGCACCCAAGAAACCAAAAGCTCAGACCTTCCAAATCTGAAGCACTGCTTTTTCGCAATTCTCCTTCTCAGTGGGAGGTATCGCAATGCTTGGGGCCTTTTTCCTAGCAGCATCCTGTGTCTAGCGTTCGGAGCTAGGGCATCCCCCGACTTTTCACAGCCCTGCTTGTCTTTGACATCCAGTCGCAAGCTCGCAGGAGCCGCAAACGGCCGTAAAGAGCTTCTCCTCGGATTGCGAACAAACTGAAATCGACTCCAGCTTTACACAGAACCGACGGAATTCGTCATGCCTCGGAACCTTTGGCAAGCACATCAAGACTCAAGACAGTCCATCACCCCCAAAACCCCAATGTTGATCCAGCAGTGTCACCTACTTCTATGCAGAAGTCCGCTGCTTTAGGCAAAAGCCTTTTCTCGACGACTGCGCGTAGGCCTGTACGGAACCGCTGCCTCCTGACCCCTTACATCAAGATATCCCTACAGCCAACTTGCAGCCAAAGAGGCTCCCACCAAGAGTGCCACGGCACCACCGCAGCCGTCGGAAACGCCAGGGCTGGATCGGGTGGATTCTGGGACTAAGCTTAAGGCCAATGCCAAGGCCTCAATGGCTAGTGCTTGGCACCCAGGCTGCGAAGGCAAAGCAAGGGGTAGAAGAGCTGATATGGAGTTAAGACAATCGAGACATAGAAAGCAACCGATTGTCATGTTCTCGCCTCTTCCAAACCAATGAACATCAACACAGTTGAACATTTTGCAGGAATGGTTTTCAGAGCTTCAGTCCAGCTTGATGACGCGATGGTGCTACCAACGCTGCCCAACACTTTTGCCTTAAGCGTTGGGACTTCAGAGTATACCTTAATTTCAACATCATACTGTAGGGGCGAACTGTTGGGGTAGAGTTACAGGTTGTTTCCGCTGGAAGTAGGTAAGCAGGAAGCTGCATACGGAACGTATGATGCTTGAAACCGAAGCAAACTGCTTGGATTCCCACAAGCCCTCACAAAACCAAGGCTTCTTGCATATTATCGCGGCCGACATGTTCAGCATGACCTACTTATGAACAGGAACTATCAAGAACTGCTCTGTGCCATCACTCAAGCATCAGGACGATCAGAATAACCATCGTGTGTAAATAGAAGTTCAACTCGATGGTGTCAAAGATTTGGGGGCCCTATGAAGCCCTCATCGGAGTGTCCGGCATGACGAACCTTGAACATGGAAGCTTTCTGTGTACGAGAGAGACATGACTGTGGCCATAATTGTGCACTGCCTTTGTTCGCAACTTAGGCCTCGCAACGCTCATTCGTAGCCGAACAGGCGATGGCCCCACAAAAGTCATGATTCAAGTTCATGTACACCCTGGAGAAAGGAACATGCCCAGGACCCTGAAAGCATCCTCTTTGATCCCTTCAGCCCTGACCGGACTCCCTGAAGTGCTTTTGCGGGGTTTAGGGTTCAAAAGCCGAGGCCGGGAATTGAACATGCTGTCGAAACTCTGATTCCGGAGAACTTCCTTGTCGAGGTCCTCGAAGGCCTTCTTCAGGCAGGCCTCTAGCAGGGCGAAGCTCTGGGCTCTTTCACGAGTTCGACTTTCATTGGGCTGCAACGACGCTGTTGCAAGAGTGGGGCCCCTGAGCCCTACAAGAACCTCCTGGCCCTATGGCTCTATGACATCCTCTGCCCGAAACTGACAAAATGCCAACTGGGGTTCCAGGCTTCAGCGATCAAAAGTCGGAGTATAGCAGCCGCAAAGCTTCTCTGTGCTTGGCTGTGGTTCAGGCCACAACAACCAGGCTTCAGCTAAAACAAGGCTCTCCAGAAGCCTCAACTCCGCCCCTCTTGTTTCATGAAGACCGGTGCAAGCAGCCTTGATGAAGGTGGCGTTCTCGTAGCCCTGACAGAAGAGGCTCTCCGGTTCTGGGGTGAATGCAAGATTGTATACTGAACCCTGCGCTGTGCACGATTTCGAGCCGAATAACCTGGACCTTTCTGCTAGTACCAATGGTTGTGTTAAGCGTGCTTCTATTGCTGGTACTGGAACATTATCACAACATATCGGCCACTTTCAGAGAAGGGCTATCTGCCGGCCAACGGTGTGGAATGCCTTCAACGTCCTGAAATCCGAAGAAGCTGCAGCCCAGAACCCCAAGCCCTTTCAAATTCTGACCACTTAAGAAACCGGAGACACACACACGACAAGACTTGAGCCCTATACAAGCACGAGCACCTGTAGCACCTGAAGTGGTCAGGCACAAGAACAACTCTTCGGCCCCGGGATTCGGTACAGGGTCTGATAGGGTTTCATGTAAAGAAAGCTCGAGCTGCTTCCGCAGAGACTCCAGCAATCTTTGGCTGACCTTGAAAGCGTCTGAGAGCTCTGACTCAGTGTCTGGCATCAATGCCACAGCTCAACCCGATAGCTATCAGCAGTGGAATCGGGGAGACACTCTCAACTGAACCGATGGATCCGAGGAGCCAAGCTAAGTCACATTTCAACCGTTTCCCTGCCTGGGGTATGACGGACATGTTCCGCAGCCTCAGCAACCGCCGTGTTTTGGAACGCGGAGCTCTGTCTTGCGAGCAGACGGTGACCGTAGCATGTAGAGACAGTCGCTTGGGGTGGGGCACGGCGAGGTCTGACCTACGGACACGAAGTCGGGAAATCTAGCATCCGCGAACCCAGGCCGCAAGTCCGGAAAGCCATGAAGTGAAATCGGCTTTTCTCATTTCGCTGGAGATGCAGCGGGCCCCAATCCAAAACAGAAATGCCCAGGCCTCAACCCAACAACGTCCAAGAACGCGCAGCCCACCGGCTCAACATCCCCACTCTGAGCTACAAGTATATACTACCATGGTCATGGTGATTGCTACACAAGCTCAGAATAGCTCTAGGGTCTGGTGGTTGTCTACTTGATCGTGCTTTGGGTTTCGGCTCCCAGTGCTGCCCCTTACGGCCAGGACAAAACACAAGCTGAGAACCCCAACTCAACCCTCAACGGTGTGCACAATCCTCAAATCGGCCTCCACAGGTACCAGTAGTGCACACTCCCGACGTCCACCATTGCAGCCCGTCTAAACCCGAAATCCTCATGCCAAGCTGCAGCTTAGGCTGTAGCGCCTTGGCACAGCACTCGGCGGCCATGGGCCCGGGTCCCTGCTGCAAGCGTTTCGAGTGGTTTAGCAGTTTACCGTTTGGGTTTGGGGGGTTGGTTTCGACGCACACTCGCACCCAGGCAGGCACGGCTGCATGAAGTCTTGCTTGCTACCGTGACACAGGTGTGCTGACATCTGCAAGACTTCACGCGATGAGGATATACTTGAACACATACATGAACACAAGCAATGTGACAGGGCTCGGGGTGCATAATCAGAGCAACATAGAAGTCTTGCACCTCAGCACTTGCCTTTCCACCACGTGCGGTATCGCTTACCCAGCGTGTACAATAATTGATAAGAAGGCCTACGACGATATAGGAGTTTCCGACATTAGGGGTACCTTGTTTGCGGGTCCTTATAATGAGGATCCTACTATTTCGGGTGCTATATTACGGTTCCCTATTTTCGGAAACTCCCATATCATCCAACGAGAGCGGCAGGCGATAACCATCCTTTCACTGTGCGGTTCATGGTGGGAGGGGCTATGACCGGATGGGCCTGATAAACAGATCCAACTACTGTTCCAAAATGCGTCGTCTCCACTCTTCTCCCTGCTGCAAGTGCATGTGAGGGTCGTGGCGATGCTCCAAGCTGCACAGCATACGACATCACCACACTAGGGCAGCCGGTCTCTCCGGCCTCTGCTGCTGACTGTCCATCGAAGAGAGCAAAGAGCTGCAGAGGTGCCTTGTTCCTCGGTGAACACGGTTCCAGTCTCCCGGCTAGGACTCTCATGGATTCAGGCTTTAGGGATTTGTGGAGTGATTGTTTTGGGCTTCTCAGTGGGGCTTTGGGCGCAGCATTGTCCTGAGGCTCGTGAGCAATGAAGGGGTGCTGATGCTCAGTTGAAAGACATCTGATTCGAGAAATGAACCTGTCTTCAACAAGCTGAAGAAGGGACCGGATCCCCGGTTCAGACTTGTGTCAGGAGGAAAGCCGAAGTGCAGTCAGTAACTGCGAAGAAACCGACTAAACCGGCCATGTGGCTCAAAGAGGCCTCCCGTAGGCAAGGCAATCTTGGATCTGGCCGCCGCTTTCCTCTCCGGCTTTTGTGTTCAGTGCTGCTGTAGCTGAATTGAAGCCAAAAGCCGAACAAAAGCACCTCCAGGGTCTGTGTTTCGGGAGGGGTTTGCACCCTTGCTGGGAATTTTTTGCAGGAGCTAGCTTCATGAAGTTTATAAGGCTATTATAAGGCCTTCTTGCAGCGCATGCCCGCAGAGAGCTCCACAAGTACTCATGGCACACCCGAGCCAGAAGCCTGAGCTGCACTTAAACCTAGCCCAGTGCGGATCTTACTCTCAGCATCAAAAAAACTTGACACGCTAGCTTTTGGCAGGGTTTCGGCGCTCAAGTTCCCTCAGCAGCCGTGCCGAAAGAGCTAAAGCCAAAAGGAGTGGAACATGGCCCTTAAAGTCTGATTCATTCAGGATTCCCGGTGCGACTTCAGACTCGCAGACAGCAACCCCCAATGAACTGTCAGTGTCCTCAGATCCTTGACGACGATGTGGCGGACCAGGTTGAGATCCACCCTGCTGCCGGCGGCGCCAGCGAAAATCAACTAAAGCCGTTATTCAGGTTACACGCAGCCTTTGGCATCTACTAGCTGCATAGCACACCATTCTGACTGACGAGGCGTTCTTTTCGAGCTTCACCCGTCGTGGGCCCAAACGCGACCAGACGTCAGGTTCCATGGTGAATATTTGCAAGAAGTTGCTGCTAATAGACTTACTGCCAATGTCACCTTGACGGTCGTCCCCCTCCTTCATGTCAAGACGTGCAGGCAGTTTTCTTGCAGTAACTCTTAGAAGCCCTGGATGAGCTGGACACGCCTAGACCCTAAACATCTCCAAGCCCTGAACTCTTACTCGCGAAGTTCAGAACGAAGGGACAGACAAGGGACAGCCATGCACGGTCAAATCAGGAGCAGCAAGACTTGGACTCCAAACCCTCAATGCTGCCATGAATCCTAGGCTGAACCATGCCTCAACCACCCTAAACACAACTCGCATCCTCAAATTCAAAACCGAATGAAGCCCAACCAAACATCAAACCCCGCTAACCTCTTGAAGCAAACCCGTAGCTTTGAGTTATGGTTTCGCTTGCGAGTTTAAGTGGTGACATCGTACACGTTTGCGAATGTACGGCATGAGGGTTTTGGCTTCATTGCAGGGTTAGGCCTCGTGGTGGTCTTTCAATGTCGCCACTGCTCAGGTTTCAGGGGGGTCGCTGGGGTCATCGGTCTGGTTTAACGCCTGCAGGTCTGAGAATGCCAATGCTGGACTTTGCGCCCGAGTCTTGTCTAAGATCCTACGAAGAGAACCTCAGGGAAGACCTCCCTAGAGCAGCCTCCCCAAGCTGACGGCATCCACGGCAACTCGCAGTGTCGCGGCTGCCTCCTCTTCCTCCTCGGTTCCCACTCAAGCTTTGAAGTCGCTTATGGTTCCAGGGCTTCGAGTTTGAAGGATCTGTAGCTGCTTGAGGGACTTGGGGGTTACGGAAATCCTTCGGGCAATGACCAGGGTCTAGAGCACTCAGTGCTGCCGATCTTCGGTTTTTTCTGGGCAGAAGTCCCTTGTCTACGTAGGCAGAACAGTGAGATCGCGGGCACGAGGGGCGGCTTGGAGTTGGTGGTTTCTAGCTTCCTCGGACATTGTTGATGCTGCACATCGGAGAAACATTCTGCGTCGGAGGATTGGAAACCTTTATTTGGTGAGCACCAGTGAGCGCGTGCAGAAGTCTCCCCGCAGGTTGCCGAACTTAACCCTGAAACATCCTGGACAATCATGCCTAAAAGCCTTCTTGATACAAACCAGGGAACAGCGATCTGGATCAGGTGCAGCGGATGCGATGCAGCAACTACTTGCTCAGGAAAGCCCCGTTCGAGTAATTCGTGGCTTCCCACAGAACTCTGCAGGCAAAACTGCAAGCCCAGGCCCTGGCACAAACCCAGAATCCGGGCTGTATCCTCACCAAACGACGAAGCAGCAATCGTTCCAACAAAGCGTAAACATGAAGTAATGCAAAAAAGGTAGTTGCACGTGCGAAGTATCCTCGATTGTTGGAGGAACAACGCATGCTAACTGATGTTTACATCCCTGCTGGCCGTTCTGGCAGGCCGCGCGCAACTCCTTCGCCTGGAGTTCTTTCGCCTGAAAGTGCTGCCAAAGGAATTGAATTTTCAAGGTTCAAATCTCTCAGGTCTCTCAGCCAGCAGCCGGAGTTTAGGGCTTCAGTGCCAGTACCTTAGGCTCTAAAGGTCTGAAGATCTGCGGTGTTGCCGAGGCTTGCATAGCATTGATAGTCTTCGAGTGCCTGAGCTGATCTCACGATAAATCATAGGGATGCACCGTGCAAGCCTGGCAAGGTTTGCAACGACAGGTAAAAAGCAAGAACGTCCATACACTCAGGTGGCAGCAGCCATAACTGGGGGGCCCTCGGGTTCGGGGTTTCGGTCTTGTGCCCTCAGCCCCAAGCGAAGCTGAACATCGACCTGCTACAGTCTGCCCCCTTCGACTTCCTGTACAAGCCAATAAGCAGCAGCCATGTAAGTGAACGCAGACCTCATTGTAAGTCGCACTGGGCCGTTCTCTTCTGGGACTTTGAAACTTCAGATCAGGGGCTCTTAGAATAACTCCCAAATTGCATCATCCTGATTTGAGGATGCCGCCCCCTGCCTTCCGAACAAAAGCGACTCATGCAAAACCCTGTGCCTCTTCATGCTCTCGCCACTGGTTCGGCAGCTGTCCCTGCTGCTTCAGCTTCCTGAATGCGGCCGCGCGGTTGTGCTCGGGGCTCGGCCAATGCCCACCCCACGAAAGCCAACCTGGTACAACTCAAAACCCTGAAGCCAAGGACATGAGCGTAGTAGCGCTCTTGACATGTATAGAAGCTGCTCTGTGGGTTTCTTGAAAATGTTTGTCGGGGACCTCAGTTTCGGAAATTCTCGTTTAACACTCGATGCGTTCTTGCCTATCCACGAGAACCCTGAGCTCCAGAACTCCTGAACTGGTCTGATGCTTTCGAGTTGACTCGCATCGCCCCTCGCCCTCACGACAAGCATCCACAGCGGCGTTCCGGAGAATCCCGCATTACTCGAGCAGAAGTTCTGTCCAGATGAGCCTGCGACAAACAAGGAAGTGATCATAACAGCTCTCCGGTTTTAAACTCCGACGGGAAGCTCAGAGGCCCGTTGCTGGGAAAGTTTGCGAGCTCTGGCGGTGGGGCTCTCAAACGACAGTTGGTGTCGCTTCTGTTTGGTATCTGTCTTTCTTCCGCTACATCCTGGCCCATCCGAGTTGAGGGCTTGACCCACGACGTCCTACGTCTCCGAGCCCAAGACGAGCTTGCTTTTGAAGCCCCCCTCGTCCAATTCTGCATAGTGATTCTCCACGAACCCGCAATTGCGAGAGTTGTCAAACATGCTTGACACTTCGTAAGCCTTGAGCCATAAACCCTCGAACTTGATGCTTCAGGTACAGGTACCGCTCCGGAGCTTTCCCCGTCACACGTATCTGCTTCAGGGTTACGCGCAGATTGAGTGGATCGACGCTTCAAGCTCACGGGCCCCGTGCCTTTCGGATACATCAGAACTCACTCAAACCTACTTCTGTCGGAAGCCTATAAGTATAGGATGATATCGGCATCCTGGTTATATAGAGTCAAAATACCGGCACGCCTCCTCCAACACTCATCGCGACCCCGGATTTCGACAATCCGGAAGTCGTTTCCGTGTTCTCCGAGCCGAAATTGGTTTGGGCACATTATGGTATCAGTATACAGGGACTGTTAAGGTGAATTGATTCATAACAGGGCTTACTTCAATTGAAGCGCTCCAATCCTTGGGGAACCGGGGAAACGAACTAAGGGGCCTTTTATCCGCCGAGGCGCGGTGACGTTCTCTAGTAGTTGCAGTAAGCGTGGAGAGCAGAGAGAAGGGAACCGTGCTATTCCCCTGCTAGGCGCTAGGCAAAGTTGAACTGATATTTATTCATTATACTACCTGGAACCGCATGAAGCCCCGGGACGAAGACCCCAAGGCCCAAGGAGAATGCCGATCCGCATGACCACGTCCCTTGACTCATTGACAGCAGAGTCGGCTATCCTTTGCTGCTTGAAGTCTCTCGGGTTTCCTGTGGTCAGGTGCTTCCGCGACGCAGCTTTCCTTGCAGCGCTGAAAATGAGGGTTTATGAGTTCGTGGGGGGGCCGAAGTGTCCTCGCACGGCACGTTTTCATCCAGCTCCCGTCGGCGAAGCCTTTCGCGCCGACTGAGGTCCGGTTCACAGAAACGTGCACCCAAGCTGCATTCTGCGCAGACATAGTGCAAAGGGCACAGTAAGGTCATGCCTTAAAATCGCAAGATAACATACAACATCGTTCCTCCCCCGAATCATTCCGGGGGATTCTTGACTCTTTATGTCATATCGCACGCTATATCCGCAAGGTTATGAACCGGCAGAAAACTTCTCCATACTTTCAGACTCCAAACCTTCAGAATAAACCCGGCTCTTGTTTGACTTTTGTTTGAGCCTGGGAGCTCCCCCGAAATTTCACTTTAAAGTTTCGACAAGGAGGAGGAAAATGGTCATCCTCTACACCAGCCGGCACAGCGGAAGGCGCTCCTCAGAGCTTGGCGCAGCGTGGCCCACCAGCTTCTGGCAGGCTGAGATGCAGATCCGGAAGCCTCCTCGTCTAAGATAGCAGCTGGTTTGCATGATACTCTAGAGCCCAGAAGCCTGGAAATCCGAGGGGCCGCGAAGGAATAACATATAACATATCAGCTCACACGCGAGTGTACACACCGAACAGAATTGATGACTGCAGGGGGACACTTGTAGGCATACATTACTACAAGATACTACAAGTGTGAACAGCCGGCAGTTGCCGTACTCGTTGTCCTGTCTCCGCTTCCCATGAACGAAAAGCGAAACAGAGCCTTCGAATCTTGAAAGCCAGTGCGTCTAGGATGGGCTTCGCACACCTCTGGTACACAACACGTGGCAGGCTCAAAATGTAGGAATAACGCCAGTAGACCAATACTACTCCAACGCCCAGGCTCAGGAGTCGTCATGGGAGTGTCTGGCGGTTCCACCTCTGAGTCCACGTCGGCATCATGGTCAACGTTCTCCTCAGCTGGTGCCTGCGATTTCGATTTTGCGGTCTCAGGGTGGGGCTGAGGTCAAGGGGCCAGGGGTCTGGGAAACCTTGAGAAATGGGACTTCGGAGTGCATGCCTCCGGCAAGCTTGCAGTCAGCAGCGGCCGCTCTTCAGCTTGCTGCGCCGGCTCCGAAAGACGTGCCAACACGTGGCTGACCACCCAAGACGATGCGAGCTCGCCTTCCTGCACCTGGCATGACTCCTCCGGCAGCGAAGGGGGTGTCTCTGACTCCTACCCAGAAACCTGAGACCGAGACCCCAAGCCCGTGTTCCTGGATGCAGGCAGATGAATGACCTGGAACCAGCAAACATAGTTGTGCTGCCAAGCACCTTGACCCCGGCATGAACTGCGACCTCAAACAGTGCAACTCAAATGTTTCAGCCCGCGGCCCCTCCTGCTCCAGCACGGGCTCTGTGTGCTTTGACAAAGCAATCCAGCCAGAGAGCGGCTGTTGGATGCGGGCCTCGCTGAATCTGGGATCTGAGCTTGGCTCCCAGACGTCGGGCCACATTAAAGGCCTCTTATTCTGTATGGCGGCCTTTTGGTACGAAAGAACGAATGAGAATTCGGTATATCCTGCGCAGGCAAGGGCCCCTGTTGAAACATGAAGCCGTTCGAAACCTCTGCAACCTGTAAATACTTAAAGCTGCCGGCTGGGTTCAACGGGCGTCTACCGAGGTTTTGTTCCGGTCCTGACCCTCCACCCTGCCAGATGGGAATCTCGAGCCTTCGTCTAAGACTCCTTTACCCAAGATCCATTCCTACATCTTTTCCGCCTACTCCGGCTTCCCGACAAAAAATCAACGCCCTCCACGCCCAAAGGAAAGTGTGTCTTGTTCAGGTCTGGCATCAGAGCCCAGCTACATGCTGCAACATGCTTCCCATATCGGACTCTATGAAAGGGAGGTCTAATGCCTGTAAAATAGATTTCAAGTTGGGAATCTTCGACCAGGACCACTGCCTTCAGGCTCCCGAACCCTAAACTCCTAAACCCGAAGGCGGGCGCGGGATTCAAGACGCTCGCTGTTTCCCTGTGAGTGCCTACAAAGTGAGGATTTCCTTGTAATTCCCACCTTACTCGGGGTTCTTACAGACTCCACACGAGTTCTGCTTTGACAAAGCCTTCCTATTGCGTCTTTATTACAATCCTACCGAATTACCTATTCTTCGGCTCTTAAATGCGGCCGAATATTTAAGACGCCCCTGGGTGCTGGGCACATTTCTCAAGTTCTAACCCCTGAAACCCAAACAACTGACCAATGACACGGCACTAAAGACTTACCGCCAAACACCCATGCCGGGTGTGGGGCCTACCTATTTCAGCTTTACCACCTGATCTTATGGTTAACACCCGATTTCGGTTAACAAATCTCTTTTACACAACAGAAACCTTTGTTTTTGATTAAAACTAAAGTACGTCTCAAATTCCGCGCTCGGCAACCCAGTCTTTCCGTGGGCCTTTTTGCCGCGCACTTCTGCCACTAGCACTCGGCTGCCTTCATGGATGGCACCCAGCACCTCAGATTTGGATTGAGGCGTCTGCGTAGGGCATTGACGATTGATTTAGGCATGTCGACTTCAAAGGGCTTGCGGTTCAGGTAGGGATGGCGCCGTAGACTTCGAGTGTAGGGCTGTTTGGTGTATAGCTGGAGGCTGCCCCAAAGTCCCAGTGCCTGTAAGGCTCATCTCATGCAGATCCGACACCTCCAACTACTCTTTGAAAATGCCTAGTGCCGGAAGACCTTGAATCCAACAACCAGGCATGCAACAAGCTCGAAAACAGTGGTGTCACCCCTGCGCAGCCTGCAATCCTTCACCGTGCTGCCACATTACATACCTGTGACTGCGACGGCCTCGAATCCAAAAACGTCCGGCAAGCTTTTCGCAAAATCCTGTCTGCAAACGCAGCGAGCCCTTCTCAACCTCCGCCTCTGACCGAAATTTCAACAATCCGGAAATGCTCCGACACCCAACACATCGGAGCCCAAAACCCGACACCCGAAACCCTAGTTCTTGAACCGTGGTACAGGGAAAATAGCTTGAAATCTGTAGCTGTAACCTACTTCGATTAGACAAGCTGACCATGTACATCGTACTCTGGGTAAACTGTCACGATACTTGACAAAAAAGTAACATAGCATAGGAAACATCACGGCATTAAACCAATCCGGGCGGGCAGTCCATACCCAAGCCCCAAAGACCCCACACCTCCCAACCCTGTGAACCCGTCACTTTTCAACGCTTGCAAGCCACCTCAGAGTCTTTGCAGGCTGTGCTTCGCACTTTCGCCTCTCGCAAGGCCCGGGACCAGCCCGGTCGAATCTCGGCTGCCTGGCACGCGGGGCTTCGCTCTTCTTCGAGCGAAAAGCAATGCTTTTGTTCTGGCCCTGCCCTCACGAAGACTCTTGCAGTCGTTAAACAACTGCATACTTTTACATCCCACACGCATCTAACGACATCGATACCCACCGCGGTACCATGATCGGGAATCTGAGCTCAAAGCTCACCGATCCGAGATTTGCCCAGCGAAGAACACCACCCAACCACCCCCCCCTGCCCGGCACAAAGCGCACAAACACGAATGCACCAGCAGAAATTTCACACACTCAGCACATCTTGGTCGAGTCCTGGGCTTCAGGAGGATCTGGGCTCTGGAATTTGGAGCTGAGCCGACTTGCTCAGGCTTGTTCGCTTGTAGTTTCACCCTGTTTCTGCTTTGGTGCAACCTTTCGAGTCTTTCTGCTGGGGCCAGGGATCGCCACGCATCTGCAATTCACTCCCGAGTGCCTTATAAGTCATCTATCTTCTCGCTGCTGACTCTTGAGGCATGTCGTTCTGATAATATGTATATACATATATGTATGATGTCAAGGAGCACACTAGCAAAGTTGAGAAGCAACCGTGCTAGGAATTCGAAGTTCGGGGCTGGAGCCCAGGCTACCGGTGTAATTTGAGCGCTGAAGCTTGGGCTTCAGCCAGGACATCTTGGACTCAGGACTTCAACTTTGGTTCGGGTCTTCGAGCAAAAGGGCCCAAACGTGGAGGGCGTTAGGAGGTTCGATTTCCCGTCATGAGTTGAAGGCTCTTAGTCTTAGACTAACTACCAAATCTGAACTCTTTGCTGTCTGCCTTGTGGTCGGCAGCTGCTTTCCTTCCTTCTGCTGCAAGCTCCTCCACGCAGCCACGGAACAAATTGCTCTGTTGTGCCGGTGGGCCAGCGGAAACCATCACAAGCACACCAGCCTTTCAGAAAACACATACGCCTCATGCAACATCTTTGTGGTGACAGCCTGTCACATTTCCTTTAGCAGCCCCTATGGCGCCCGCCCCCCCCCCCCCCCCAACTCTCAAAGAATAGCTATCTACAGCTTGGGCTTCTCCTCCATGCGAGCTTTCTGCCGTTGCTGTTGCCGCCCATCGAGGTTTCGGCGGCCAAGCAGCCGAGGATCCTCTCTGCTTTCTTGGCACACAGCGGCCGTACTTGCGGCTGCTTGTTGCTCCATGCTCGGAGACCTACGCCAGAGCCGAAGATCCTGCGGTAAATACCTGCGTCATCCCCATCGTCCGCCGCCAGACCTCGAACTATCCCAACACAAGACAACTACATGGCGCCATGATTACCCTGCGTTTCCCGAGTGTTGACTCCGAGAGTGGAATGCTCCTGCAATTAATTATACAAGTAAAATTGAACCAAGACGAGAAAACTGAATCCACTCAAAGTGAACTACTGCCTGACCTTTCAAGGCAGGCTTGCTTCCATCCCAAGTTCGATTCCAAGTTTCTGAGCCGCGAAACACTAACATTAAAACTCTAGGGTTCTGGGTTGAAGGCTGAAAATCGCTTTAAGTGACGACGTCTGAGAAGCCCACGACAAGACATCCCCTGGCACTAGACTCGAGATGTCGGGGATAAACACAAGGGCGTCAACTCAAAGCCCATTTGCCCGAGATTCTCAAAATCCTGGCTTTTGGCCCGCCCTACAACTTAGAGGCTCAGGTAACGCGCCGGAGTGTTCTTTAGTAGGGCCCAGGCGAAGCTCTTGACAGTCGTGCTGCGGTGATTCGGGGGTGCCCCTTCAACGATTCAGATGCCAATCTTCCGAGATCGCCGTGTTGATCAGAGTCCAAAAGAGACCCTTCGTCTTGCGTGTTTTGGGCCTTTTGGGCCCCATGTGAGAGATCAGCCTTGCATAGAACATGTCCCATACCTGATACAGATCCATGCAGTGCCATCATCACCAAAGAGAGTCTGTCACACTGTCCTTCACATCTGCGCTACTTGGACGCTGTTTTTCCCTCTGTGGGCCACGTGCAACTACACTCAAAATTGTGCAATTCTGGCCGTGGCTCTGTTGGCCACGTGCGCCACACTCAAGATTGTGGCTTTCTGTGGCTCTCGCGGCCACGTACGCCACGCTAGTACCACGATCGAACTCCAAGGTGCAATCAGGGCCTCCCCTCACACTTGGAGTAGTCGTTGGCTCATGTTGCCTCACTCAAAAGATTGACCGACATTTATGGCGCCAGGAGTGTCGGGAACGGGCCCTGCCCAGTCGAAGCCTGGGCCACAAAGACCCTGGCCGGCTAGTTGAAGGGAGTCTCCGACCGGAGTAGTAGAGGACTCGCTTACACCGACGTCCACGGAGGTCATTCCAGCTGCGGGGCCAGAATTCGCCGTAATCGTGCCTTCATAGCTGATGAACTCTGTTACTTGGCCCGTTGAGTCAACCAATGCGATTCCATCCGGAGCTCCATTCTGAATGCTATTGCGATTCTGCACCTGAGCACTCTTTGGTCCATGGGGTTCAATGGGGGTTCAATCGGAATGGGAGTGCAGAGAGGAACAGGGATTCATGTTCTGCCGAGGAGGGACGACTGGCAAAAGCGGCAGAACCAACAAATGTGTCTAATGAACTTGCACGGTTAGGTTTTACTTACGGTCAGAATCCGCAAACCCGCGACCCTGAACACCAGTTTGGATGTAGGTCCAGGTGAACCACTGCCGACTGTGATGTCCAAGTTTCCTGTCCAGTCCGGAGACCGTGCAGCTATCACATTACGATGGCCTTCGTGCCAATATTGCTACGTTAATGTACTGCTCTCTCTACGCCTATGTATGCTTCAACATTATTGACATTATTGCGGTTGTTCATCTTGCCACGTGTCTCCAACCCCCTGCCCCGCAACCCAACCCAACCCAACCCAACGCTGTACATCATGGGCCTCTACAGCCAAACCCCTTCCTGACCACCCCTACAACAGCGATCTACCCCTAGCTTCAGAGCCCTCAAGTACCTCAAACCCCAAGAGAAGGCCTTAGTCTTTGCGCCGCGGTACATAGAAGCCATAGCATGTGTTCAGACCTGTTGCTCCCGCACTTGGTGTTAGTACCACGGTACCAGGCGTGTCGGTGTCATAAGGAGAACCTTGGCTGCAGCCACGTGCTGCATACCCTCCCCACCCCTCCCCTATAACCTCCCGTCGAAAGGGGCCTCCACTGAGACTCCTTTTTGCTGAAAGGAAGTCTTTCTGGCACAGAAAGTATTGTGAGCTTCAAGGTTCGAGGCTTTCGCCTGTGAGGATGAAGTAGGGGAAGCTCAAGTTTACAGCCTAAGGCTCCGGGCTAGAAAGGAGAGCGCTGGGTCCTGATGCGCTAGGGCTCAAAAGGACCAGGACTCTACCTCAGTTACCTCTGCCCAAACCGAAGCCAGAAAGTCCGTCCATTCCTTGTCCACGCTGCCGTTACCGTTGTAGTAAACGATTTGCCAGCCGGTCAAGTCCGTCCCGGCTAATCCTGCCAACTCAACAAACTCGTCAACGTCACTTCCGGCATTGTCGTAGTGGAACTCATTAATCCACACGTGTGCTGAACAGGTCCTGAACAAATCTGGTTTTAACAAGGGATCTGCCTTAAATGGAATGCTGAAAAAGTGAAGAATGCCAACGGAGAACTTGGTTTGGAAGTTGTGAGGAACCCAATTACAGCATACATTGAGGTCGGTTCATGAAGGTGCGTGCATGTGGCTTGCACGAGTTTCCTGGCAATGCGTCGCGGTCAAGAGTGAAGCCTACCGGCCTACCGGAGCTTGAAC